GTGGTTGGAATAACATTTTATTCTTAAAGCCAAAAGGTGAGAAATATTATAAATTTTGTTTGAAAATGAATTGGTTTAGTGCTTTGTAAAATATTACTTGTAATTTTGGATTTTGTGTATGTAACTATTTATTTATTGTTACCTGATAGAATTTCTTATTCTGTGCACATCTACGCACATGCACTTCTAGTTTATGTCGCATTTTCTAATGAAGGGCAAGGGAAGAAGTGCAGCAGAACTGGCTCTGACATCACCAATTTAAAGAGATGTAAGACTTTAAAAAGGAGTCTGCAGTTGCAACCTAAAATTCTACAGTCTGAAGCTGAGCTGTGAATACAGGAGACTAAATCCCAGATATATGTATGGGGTTTTTTTGTTTTTTTGTTTTTTTTAAAAAAAAAGAGGGGGAAGGAATGTAATCAAAAACAGTTAAAGGATTTGTGAATGTTTCGGTGTGGCTTCCTCAGGAGTGTTTAGGGGGGAATTTCTGCAGGAATTCAGGTGGGGGGAAGCATTGCGCTCCACTCCTCCCACTGCTGGTGTTGCTCATAATTACTGTGAAAAGGAAGATAAAATAACTGTATTTTGTCCAAACTGATCAAGTTCTAACAAAGGAACTGTAATTCAGCTAGTCTGTCAGTTAGGATATCATCTCTTGATTTCAGGTTTTCAGTCCTCTGTTATTGGCTCTGCTGACAGCGATGAGAAACAAATCTCTGTGCTGTTGGCAGGAACAGAGGAGTTCACACAGGCATAGTGTGACAGAATTCCCCACATAAAATATATCCTTGCTAATATAATATAATCAGCCTTTAATGAAGTGGTCCTGTGGTTCCCAAAGGATGTGTTAAGTGAAGACTTTGCTTTCATCCCGCTGAATTATCAGCGTATTTAGTGTGCCAGTCACACCAGCGCTTAGGTGTCACCATTATCCATTGCTGCTCTTCTCTTTTTCAGGCCTGGTTTTAATTTCTTTTCCACCTTTGCAGCTTAAGTCAGGTGAGAAAGATGAGAGTACACCACGTGAGCCCGCTTATATTTTTATTTGTTGCAAAAGGTCCATGATTTAAAAGCTAGCTATCAGTTTAGTTGACCTAAATGTAGGGCCAAATTGAAAAACATTTCCTCCAAGGGTGTGCAATATTGCAAGGCTACTGGCTCTGTGCATTGATTCCTTTTTCATGTTGGTGGATTGTTGGAAAACTGTCCTGAGTACTTATTTCTGCACATATTCTCACCCTGTATACTTATTTCTGCACATGTTCTCAGCCCGCTTTAGCTGCTGCTAGTCAAGAGGACTTGCACTACACTTTTCGTGTCTTTCTGACTTGCGAGCTGTAACGGGCCTTGTTCATGGGAGTTTGAAACTCTGGCAGACACTCTGCTGCGGATCTATTAAGGATGCTACAGCGTTCCCAAGTGTGGTTGAGGCTGCCCGAAACTGCTGAGCTGGCATTTCACTTCAGACGATGTTCACAGTAAGGGCACACACACAAATCCTCCCCCACTGGTCCAACCCCAAAGCTCACAATTAAATGGCCTTTGAAAATGGCAAAGAGGCTTATGAAGAATAGCCTCGATGGAATCTAACCTTTCCTGGCGCTGCCCTTCTGTGCAGAATCGTTGATAACTTTCTGAGCCGAAAACATTTGGTTGAGAGGCGAACATCTTTTAGCTGGAGTAAAATAGCTGCAGCCTTGTTGTGTTCTGCATGTAAAGTACCAGCAGAATCTGCCCTGGTTCAGTGCGGGCATTCAGCCTCACAGAAATCACAGCGACCAGCCTTCGGTTGCCTTCAGTACGCTTCCTGCTCCTTGCAGGAGCGTGGGGCTGTGCCAACAGCTTGCCACTGCGAGGTGCAAGGCTGAGTGGCCTGCGCTGAAGTGCTGGGGTGGTCGTACCAGCTGGGCGCAGGGAACTGCCCCGTGGGGTGGTCTCTGCTGGGATCGGGGCAGGGGCAGGAGTTAGGGTCTCTGTGGGCTTGACTTCTGTAGCCTGAAGAAAGGGTGATTTCCTCTAAGTTGCAGGAAAGTTTATAAATAAAGCAGAGAGGGAATGTACCTGCCCTTCAGATTCGATCTTTGTCACGTTCAGATGAAGCAAATAAAATCTTTCCTTACAAAATGTTACATCTCCAAGGGAATTAGTTGTACACCATGAAAGCAAAGGACACACTGAGTAGAGGTTTAGGGTTACTGGTATTAAAACTATCTGAAAACAGTTGGAGCCCAGTGTTTCTTTGGCAATGGATATTTTACTTACATAAATTATCTTCCTAAGATATTGTATTTTCAGGAAGATTAGTAAATGCCATAAACTTGAACCATACACACTAAATTCACTGACAAATGATTAAGCCTTACTGTAAAAAGTGAAAATAGTGAAATTAATAAATTAATCACCCATGTAATGTTGATTAATGCTAACTATAATAATTTTCCACATCTGAGATGATCCTTTTGTTCTTCTATCCAACGCAGGCTTGGGATACCATAATCTTATATAGGTATACCTTTGTTGAGACATCGATATCTTTTAAATATTTTAATGGGGAATCAGTGCTTTTTGAAGGCTGCCAGGTATACAGCTGTGGAGACTGAAATGGTCTGGTTTAGCCATAGAACAATCTGGGGCTGCTGGACTAATTTCATAGGGAAAGTCAGGTAGATTATTTTCGGAGGTTTCTTCTAACTGTGTGCCTAAGTTCTTTTTCTCATTTTTACTATGTGACTTGGCATACAAACCATGGTACAGTTCCTATTCAAATATCCCCTGCCTCTGGGGCTACATGCCCATGAGGAAGCGAGCCAGAGCGCCCGGGCTCGTGCCTGTGGAACTATTGAACTGACGTTGAGTGTGAACAAACTGTGGCCCCAGGTCTGTGGGTTTGAATGTTTATTTGGGTCTGCAGCCCAATCTCCGGAATTGTGACATCTCTGGCTGCAGGGTTATTCTGTGATGAGTACGCTCCCTTCTTCTCTTCCTTTGGGCTGCTTTTGTATAAGGACAGGCCTCAAGTTTTAGCCAAGCTTTTAGGGACTTTATGTGTAAATTAAACTATTTCTGTTTTTCTTCAAAAATGCCATTTATACTTGGTTATGGTAAAAGCTGCTGGTGCTACATTCTCTCGGCAGAACCTGCCCATAGCATGCATGGTAGGAAATGCTGGAGCTCAGCAGGTGGCTCAGATCCACAGCTTTTCACTTGAAGTTATCCAGCTAGTGCATTTAAAAAAAAACCATGAGAATTCTGAATGGGATTGCAGCCACACTCCCTTTGCAGGATCCATGTCTTACCAGAGCAAAGAACAAGACTGCATTTGCTCTTCTAGTGTCCTCCTCCCTCTTTCACTGCCTTCAGCCACCACAGGAGTTGGGAAGGGAAGGGGTGCTAAGGTTGATGAGACAAGGCTTGTTTAAAAAACTCTCCTGAACTAGAGCAGCACTATGGCAGCATTTTTTTTTTCCTTATACTTAGTGCTTGTGATCCCTTGAATTCTTTCTGGCAGTTACAGAACAAAATCTGGATATGTGTATATAGAGAGAGAGTAAGCTACCTGAATACATGGAGGTTACTGGGCCAGTAAAGTATTCGCATGGATCAAATAATTAGCCCATCTTTTAAGACCAAAATTAAATCGTACTAAGAAAACTTGTCACGATTTTCTTTTTTTTTTCCTTGAGTAGGGGTGGTGAAGTGATTCACTGAAAATTTTACCCCATCTTAGCCTAGGAAAGGGTGTAGGTGACCTTGGGAACATCGATGCCTCAAAAGCAGAACTCGAGGATCATTGGTTCTCTAACACACCCTCGTTGTACCAGGCTTACAGCTCAGAGCTGAGTGTACAGATGTGCTCGGCCACTGACTGGGGTGTAGTTGGGTCTCTTGGAGGTGTGTGCTTGAGGAGCTCCACAGCGCTGTGGGTAGGCCCTGCTCTCCCACTTGTTTTCTCCCAGGTGATGTGTCTATTGGAGGCAGGGCAGCTGGTTTTTAAGCACAGAAATGGCAAATGGGATTTTGCTGCTGGCAACTGTGTGCTCCATAAGCTTTCCAGAATTTGTATGAATACTCATGGCCATCTTCTAATGTGGCTGAATTCTGTATGAACAGGACTTCTATTTGCCACAGGATAGATAAGGAGAGTTTTCTGTCGGATTTTCTGTGTGAATGGAAACATGATCATGTTAGCTATGCTGTCAATGGAAAAAAAAAAAGTCATAAAATGTGTAACCTTAGGAGACATGAGTTGCTACTATACCCGCTAACACTTTATTTTGTTGGCTTTCTCACGCTGCATGTCTTTTGGCACCATGTTGTGTTGCAAAGCTGAAGACTGCTAGCCTCAATGCAGAGACCGTCCAATTTACATTCTAGTCATACTGCAGCGTTTCATAACCCCACTTAAGCTTTTCTCTGGCTTCTCAACAGCTCTGCTGTCTGATACTACACACAGAGACCTCTGGGGCAAGGGAAAGGGCCTGTGAGTCCCAGGAAGAAGAGGAGCAGCAATAGCTGTCTAGTCTTTGCCGAAAGAGACCATCGGCGGGGGGTGCAGCACAGTGGCCCAAAAAGCTGTGTAAGCTGGTGGTGATCAGTGGGTGTTGCATGAGGATTTTAGTACAGATGTGTGATCTGGAAGGAAGGATTGCAGCCACTGCATTGGGTAGCTCTTACCTACCATACAGGAAGGGCGTGGAAAGAGAGTG